ATTATGTCATGGCATTGACTGTGGGCTCTTGAAGGCTCTTGCCAGCAGAAGGTAGGTCTTATCAAGCTGGGATGGCTTCAAGTACAGGCCGAGTCCGATGACAGACTGACTGTGTGTTAGCTGTCCAAGGAACAGCCTAGCTAAATGCAGAGAGGCTAATTGGTTTAGCTATACAGGATGCTGAATTCACTGCCTGCTAAGTCAGTGATGGGCCATGACCTAGATCCTTCACTTATGGGAGAAATATTTAAATAGTTTAAGGTGAAAGAGACCTACCTCATGGATACTCTCATGCAGCCACGCTCAACCTTTTTATGTCATGAATCCCCTTGGCAATGACTTTTCAGTGATGTACTACCACTAATTATTTCTGGGAAAGGGAAGCACACTGCCCGAGCCTATGCTAGGCTAAGCCTATGGATTCCTTCTCAAAATAATGTTTTTTAAGTGCATAAAGTAAAATACATAAGATTACAATAGAAAGCAATTAAATATTAAAAAAAAAAACCACTAGTCCATAGACCCCAGGTTAAAAACCCCTGCTCTTGTCCAGTTAAGTGCAGTGAGGTGGCACAGTGGATTAAGGACTGGGCCTGGAATCAGGAAGCCTTATCTTCCTAAATTCAAATCTGACTTCAGATACTTACTAGCTGTGTAACCCTGGGCAAGTCACTTAACCCTGTTGGCTTCCGTTTCCTCCACTGTAATATGAGCTAGAGAGGGAAATGGCAAACCACTCCAATATGTTTGCCAAGAAAACCTCAAATGGGGTCACAAAGAGTGAGACATGACTGAAAAACGACTGAAGAACAGCTAGTTCATTTGTGTCATTTTACAGAAGAGGAAACTGAAGCTCAGAGAGAAATGATTTGCCAAGAGTCATACAAGTAATAAACAGCCCAACTTGGATTTGAACCCAGATCCTTTGGCTCCTAACCTAGTTCCCTTGCCACTGTGATTAATCAGGGCTTTCAGAGATGAGCCTAGATTTGCACCTAGGTTCTCTGGTTCCATATATAAATCTCTTGCTACCATGATCAAACAGGGCTTCATACATGACCCTGGGTTTGAACTCAGGTCCTTTGGCTCCTATTCTAATTCTCTTGCTGCTAGGCATAAGCAAGAATTTCTTTCAAGGACCAGCTAGCATATACTGGCAATTCAATTTGGGAGAATGAAGTAAGGGCTTAAATGGCCAGAACTAGGAAGAATGCCAGTCAAAGGATCACTATGGTCAGAGCCCCAGAAACAAGCTCCTTAGCAGGTCAGGAAGCTGGAAGGAAAGTATTTTTAATTTGAACCTGAGGGGAGTGTACCTGGGACCCTGAGCAGAAGGGAACCCTCCTCCCCAGGGAACTAAAAGCCCAGAAAGCACTCCTCCTCAGTGTAGGAATAGAATTAGAATGATCAAATAAGAAAGAACAGTGACCCAAGGGGCAGGGCTTGATAATGGGAGGAAGAGAAACAACAGGAAAAGCATAGAAAAGCCCATTAAGACATCGCAGGTGTAATGTTGCTCACTGCCGCTGAAGCCCAGCTTTTTTAACACCAATATTCTCCTGGCGATGCTATATAGCTGTGAATCATGAAATGCCACGATCTTAGAAGAATCACAACTTCAGGTGACCTGCAGGGCAATGGAAAGACCCTGGGGTGGGTGTAAGTCAGCTGCAGCCCCATTACCAAGGATGGCTGGTGCGTGAAAAGTGGTAGGAGAGACATCAAGGACATGTATGACCAGAAAAGGAGGCGGGCTGGTCGTGTCGGCAGAGAGAGATGAACAGCCTGCCTGCTGCACTGGTACCCATGAAATATTCAAAGAACCGGAGAAAAGCCTGCAGCACATTTGGGTGGATCCTTTCTGGAGGAATTATGGAAACATATGGACAAGACATGTCCAGGATAAGAGGGTATGGATGGATGGTGGGAGGACCCATACCGTGAAGTGCTGAAGCATTAAACAGAGACCGGCTATTTATGAGTTAGCTCAACTCTAACTGGCATGTACAACAAGCTTCCCACACGTTGTAGGAGAGGTTAACGTTTCCTTGCATGGACTGGACCAGGGGCTATATTGGAGTGGTCACTCACTGCCTCAACAAACACTTACTGATGGGTTGGGGAGGAGCCAGGATGAATAAGACCTGGTCCCTGCCCAAAAGCAGCTCACAGACTAGGAGGGGGTTGTAAGGCAAATATAGAAACCACCATGATATAAAGCAAAAGTAGACTAGTGAAAAGAAGACTCCATTGAGAGTTAGAATTTTGTCCAATCCCGGCTCTGTCACTAATTTGCTGTGTGACTCTGAGCCAATCACCTAACCTCTGCCTCAGTTTTCTCATCTATAAAATGGGGATAATAATAGCACTTACCACCGCGCCCCTCCCAGGTGTTCTGAGGATCAAGCAAGATAATAATTGTAAAGTGCTTAGCATAATACCCGGGACACAGCAAGTACTATATAAATAGTTGCTATTATTATCAATATTATTTTATTTGTTTTAAACTTATTTTTTAAATTGACTGCATATTTGTTGCAAGGGTTTTGTTTTTCTTTTTTCTTTTAATAAGGAGGGAGGTGGAAGGAAGAGAAAAAAGAGCTTTGTTAATTGAAAAAATAAAATTAAACATAAAAAACGGGGGTTGATGAGACGATCTCTAAGGGTTTTTCTGAGGGGATCAAAGTGCCTATGGATATGAATCCTAGGGCCCTTGCAACCTCCCTCCTCTTTGTGGGAGAGCAGAAGGGCTCTGGGCACAGAAGCAGTATGGGGTACCATGGTGGAACACAGGATTTAGACCTGAAATGGACCTTAGAGATTACCTAGCTCAATGTTCTCTTTTAACAAATGAAAAGACAGGATTGGAGAGTTAAATTACTTGCCCAAAGTCATAAGAAACCTAGCTAGAATTCAAACCAAGGTCATTTGACTCTAGAATTAATGAGAGAAAAGAATGTGCTGGGGTGGGGGGACAGCTTAGTCTGGATTAGGAGGTGTGGATGGCCACAAAAGGAGACTTTGGTGCCCAGGGCAGCCCCAATCAAGTGCAGTTGAGACACAGCTGAAAGGGCGCTGGCTGGCATCATGCCATTGTAAAACTCATATTATCACATCAGTTCCTAGATGCCCCAGGGTATCATTCAGGTAAATTCAGGGTAATAATAACAAAAATAAAACAGGGATAATAACAATAGCTAACATTTATATAATGTTTTAAAGTCTGCAAAACATTTCACATATATTACTTTCAATCTGTGTCCTCAGGCCCATCTTCTTCTTTTAGGTAGTTAGAAGGTGGCCCCTTACCCAACGAGGCTCCTTACTTGCTGTGGCATCAAAGGAGACGTGAGATAATGTATAAGGGGTGTTTTATAAAACTGTGTGGCATTTAAAAAGGTCCAAGAGACATAATTTCAGGGTAATTTAATCATTTCATTAATAATGCCAGCATTTTAATAAAAGGATGGTCATTTGGCTGTCTCTCTCTTAGACCAAAGAGAAGTATGGCGGTTGGCTCAAAGTTTATATACCCTTCAAAGAGTAGGTGTTCCCCAGGATGGGAATCAACCCAGATTAGTTAACAATTAATGAGAGAATGAATATTATTACAATGAGAGGCTGGACCAGAATGTTGATTAAGTCATTTGTTTCTTAAATTAACCCCAGCCTGGGGCAATCTATTCCAAGACTTTATGCTCCCCGCTCAAACCTGAGCAGAACACAATAGCTACCCTACCTGGGTGGAGTCTGAACAGGAAAGTTAGTCCAATCTCATTATCAGCAATGTCTTTCAAGGGACTGAATTTTTTAAATCAGGACTTTAGAAAAGGGGGGTGGGAACTCTGGATCTCCCCAAATCATTGGGTATTAGTAATCATTTCTCTCAACTGCTACATGAGCTGTATTTGTTAACAGACATGGATTCTACCATATGACTAGTCTAGAAGCCAAGATACACCAGGATCAACTGAAGGGAATATTTCACTTTGGAGAAGACAAAACTGAGGGAACATGACAGCTTTCTTTAAGTATCTGAATCCCCCTAGAAGAGAGCTTGGACTTATTCAGAAGCATGAACAAAGGGCAATAAATAGACATTATAGGGAATCAGATTTTGGCTTAATGTAAGGCAAAATTTCCTAACAATTAGACCTTTCCAAAAGTGGAAAAGTCCTTGGGAGATAGTGGGGTCCCCACCACCAGACTGTTTTCAAAAGCAGGCTGAATGACTACTCTCTGGGGATGTTATAAGAGGAAATTTCTATTAAGGCACAATATGAATTAAATTATCTCTGAGGTCCCTCCCCACTATGATACTGTGATTCCATGAATAATACCCATACTAGTATATATTTTATGACATTATAAAGATTGCAAAGTACTTTGCTTGCAGTACACCTGTGCAGTCCTCAGTACAAGTACCATTATTCCTCATTCGACCACGGAGGAAACTGTGGCTCTGAGAGAAGTGATGTCACCAACACTACATAGTTAATCCGTATTCTAACCGGGCCTTGAACCCAGGACTTTGGATTCCAAGGACAACCAGTGGTCTTAGATTAAAGACCAGTGTTCTTCCTATTATACCTTGCTAACTTCTACAGTTGTAAAGTGACAGGATAAGTTATTAGCTAACACCATAGATAGCTGCTAACCTAATACTAATGATGATAATAGCAATGATAGTAACAACAAGGATGGGAGCAAATTATTATTGCTGAAAAAAGTGATTGTGAAACTTTCAGTAACTGCCCCCATACATACATACATACATACACACACATACATACACACACACATACACACACACACACATACACATATACTTTACATCTCTATGAAATCTTTACGAGAATAATCCACACACATAACAAGGACATCCTCGTTGAAGGCAAGACAAAGGAACAGGCAACCTTCTGCAAACAATATTCCACAGATCTCACCTCTAGAGTCATACAACTGACCAAAGGGTGTAAAGAACACAAGATCCTTCCATTCTTACTGTTTATTGACCATAAAAGGTATTTGATGCTATACAGAAAAATGCTACTTTAAAGAATCTTCTCCACCAATTTGTCTCCCATGTATAGGTTGAATTCATATGAAGTTTCCTGAACGAAGAAATCTTGTTCAACAACCCTCTGATTATTAACATCAAATGAGGTATCAAACAGGGAGATGTATGATAGCCAAAGAGGTTTACTATTGTCATGAAGGATGTCCAATGTAGAGTCCAAATTCAACATGGATTCCTTGTAGATGGTGAAGTTGTCCAGGTGTTCCTGTTTGAAGATGACAGACACCATGTTGATTGAATCAAGCCTGGAAACATTAGAGAGCCTCCTAAATAAAATTCATAATCATTTAAAAGCATTCAGTAAAAATATCCTATAATCAAACTATGTGGAAAACCAAGTGGATGGAGAATAACTGTTGCCAAGACCAAAATATACAATTAGAAGGACATCCCATAAGTTGGACAATTATAGTGGATAAACAATGAATTGACTGAGAAATGAACAGGAGAAGAATGAACAGGTGAGACTGCCTTTGGGCAATTACGCGATGCTTTTAATGACCTCTAACTTTTCCCTGAAATAAAAGCCAATTTTTTTTAGCATCAATATTCTTCTGGTGACACTGCATGAGTACAAGCCATGGACTCCCACAATCTCTGAATGATGAAAGTTGCAGATCACTCAAAGGAAATAGAGAGGCCCATGATGAGCACAAGGAGACTGAAGCATGTTACCAACAAAGAATAACATAGAAGAAACAGTGTCAAGGATGTCGATAGGGAGATATGTGACCAGAGAAGGAAGTGAGACAGTCATGGTGATAAGCTAGAAAAAAATGGATGAACAGCCCACATGCTCCACTAGTATCTATGCAATAACAAGAAATCTAGAGGAAGCCCCCTGCCCCCATAGCATGTTGGGCAGCTCTTCCCCTAGCCCTAACCCACTGAGGATTTATGGCTGGGACAAGTACAAGAGTGGCTGCATAGATGAATAAAAGGTAAGTGGGCTGGGATCTGCATCACTGGAAGAAAATCCACATCTAAGAGATCACAGATCCACTGAAATAGCAAGATTAACTCTCATGGCTACAGCACGAAAAGATTTGCCCAACATTGCCATGAAGTTCTAGACTATGGGCAATCCATGTATTTTTATACCCATTTTACAGATGAGGGAACCAACTCAGATTAAAGCAACTTCCTTAGAAGTGCCAGTGGCAGGTCTCCTGATACCCAAACCAGGGCTCTTTCCACTAAACCACCATTCCTATTTGCTTTTCGCCTCTCACCAACAGCAATCTTTCCAACTATGACAAGATAAGAATGGGACAAATGCCCAGGGTAGGGGAAGGGGGAGAAAAGGGAAGACAAATTTTGCCAACAGGGTGCCCTCAAACTGGGCTATGAGCTCCATTCCCCCACCGTATCCTGGGACAATTGTCATCCCCACCCACACCTTATTTGTCCTATGGGAAGGCAGACACCATATCTGAGGGGATGCATATCTCCCTCCTGGAGATTCCATAGCTCTCTTGCTCCCTGTGAGTACTGGCCTGCATCTGTTACCAGGAAGGAGAGGGAGGGTGAGGAGGAGGGGCCCTCACTGAGGCTGCAGGCACATTGAGGAAGACAGCAGTGGAATTACAAATCTAGGGAGATTTAAGGAGAAAGAAAATTTTCTGGCATATGCAGGGTTTGGGGAGTTGAACTGGTTTTCCCTGTGGAATTTCCCACCTTCTTACTGAATGGACTTGGCTCTAGGGAGAGACTGGTAGGAGTGAAATGTATGAATGTATATATGTTATACACAGAGAGGAAGACAGAGTGAGGGAGGGTGAGAGAGGGACATCGAAAGAGAGGGACAGAAGGAAAGACAGAGGTATGGAGAATGGAGACAGGAGACAGAGAAAGACAGGGAGAGGAGCAGAGAGAAAGAGAAATGCAGCAAGTCAGGGAAAGGCATACACAGAGAATGGGGGGGAATATCCAATGTTGGGGATACACCAGTTGGGATGGGATATGGAAGACACAAAGAGGGACAAAGGGCAGATATACAGAGCACAAGAAATACAAAGAAAGAGACAGAAAGACAAAGGAGGACAGAGGGACAAAGAAACACACAGAAGGACAAACAGAAAGAAAGAAACAAGGAGGAGAAAGAAAAGATATAGGAAGAGAAACAAAGAGAAAGAAAGGGTCACAAGGAGAGCTAAAAGGACACACAAAGAAAGGCATATGGAAAGAAAGATGTGCACAGAGAGAAGGAAGGAAAGAAGGGGGGCAGAAAGGATGGGAGGCAGAGGGACACACAGAGATGGGAGTTGTGGGGGAGGAAGATATACACAGAGGGAAAAGAAGGATACACACAGGAGAGAAACAGAGATGCAGAAAGGGGGAAACAGCTACACACAGAGACATCAGAGAAAGAGAGAGACAAAAAGAAATGAGAGGGATATGGAGAGACAGCAACAGAGGGGGACACAGAAACAAGAGACAAAGGGATGAGGGATACAGAAAATGATACAGTGGGCATACTCAAAGAAAGATGGAAGGGGAGGACAAGGGACAGAGAAAGAGAGAAACACAGACAGAAACAAAGAGAAACCAAAGAGAGAGCAAGGATACAGTAAGCCATAGAACAAGAGAGAGACAGAGAAAGAGAAGGATACAGAAGAAGGGACAGGTAATGGAGAGACAGAGAGAAAGTGAAGCACAGAGAGAGAAACTGAGGCAAAGAGAGAGGAAATGGAACTCAGACAGAAAAGACTGCAAAGACAAAGGAATAAGTACACAGAGAAAGGGACAGGAATGGGGATACAAAAACAGAAAACATACCAAAAAATGGTGAATAGAGAAATAAAAACAGGGACAAAGAAACAGAGAAGATGGCAAAACAGCAAGACTGAGACAGAAACAGCAACACAGAGATAGAAAGAGGAGAGAGAGAGGGAGAGAGGGAAAGGAGAGAGAGAGAGAGAGAGAGAGAGAGAGAGAGAGAGAGAGAGAGAGAGAGAGAGAAAGAGAGAAAGAGAGAGAGACTGAGACTCAAAGCCAGGAAACAATGAGAAGGAGAAATAAATACCCAAAAAGCCCACTGCAAACACAGGGGAAAAAATAGACCCAGGATTCTAGCAGGGCACAGCCACAAAGGAAATCTGAGGCAGCTCAACTCTCACTTGCCTAAGGGAAAGGAAGGGAGTGATTGAGAAAGAAAGATGAGATTTTTTTTTAACCAAGAACCAGAGAAGAAGCATAGGGAATGAAGGCCAGTTGGGTGGGGGAAGGGGGAGAGGAAGCCAGTGGGAGTCAAAGCAAAAGGTGCAGGAGGGATGGGGAGAGAGCTGGGAAGTGACATTGAGAAGAAGGTGGAAGAAAGGCTGGCACAGGTAGAGGGCATGAAGAGAGATCAAGGAAAAGGTGAGATGCTTTGTGTCTCATTTCAGTAGGAAAAATAGGGACATGGGAAGGTTTGTGTACCATCTCAGTGGAACAGTAAATCTGTCAACAAATATTTATTGGGTGCCTACTCTATGCTGGGTGCTGCAAGGCACACAAAGATGGGGGCATAAGGGAAAGACCACAGAATTGCAATCAAAGGATCTGGTTGGAGTTTTTTTCCTCCCAGCTCTGCTACTTACCACCTGGGTGACCGTGGCCAATTCACTTAATAACTAGAACAGCTGGGAGGCAGAAACTTAGCATCATTAGGGGTGCCCTTCCCTTCCCCCTCTGCCCCCTCCATCTTCCTCCTCTGTCCCTTCACCTAGTCCCAGGTACATGGAACCCACCCAGGCTTCCTGACTGCTCACACAGCTTGGATGAGATGGTACTCAGTATCTCTGCTCCTCCTGGACAGATACAGGACCCTTAGAGCTTGACAGAGTCTCCTAACGTCCTCCAGGCCTTACCATCTACCCTGCCTCTACATCTTCCAGACGATCCCCTCCTCAACCCCCACGCTGTTATCTGATCTACTGTTATAACCTAGGGATCCCTGGGCCTTGACACCTGCCCCATGGATACATCCTTAAGATTTCCAGGCCTCTCCTTCCTTCCTGAAACTGAATTTCTCAATTAGAGCACAAGTTTCTTGAGAGCAGAGACTCTCTTTTTTTTTCCTCCTTGAATCTTCAGCACTTAGCACAATGCTGGGCACATGGTTAGAGCTTGATAAAACACTTTGTCATTCTTTCATTCATTTAGTCATTCATATGGTTAGTAAGGGGCAGAGCCAGATCTTGAGCCCACGACTCCTGGCTCCCAGTCCTGCGAAGGAAGTGAGCTTTAAGTTAAAGAATAGGAAAGAATTCAACAGTTGAGGAGGGGAAGGGGGAAGATTCAAAACTCGAGGAATTGTGTCTGAACAGAGCGAAGGGAGAGGCACAAATTGTGTTCCTGGATGGAGTGGTCTAGTTTGGCTGGAGTGTACAACATACAAGGGACAGACTAGAAAGGTGGGGAGGCACCAGAGTGGGGGAAGTCTTTAGTACCAGGCAAAAAAGTCTGAAACTTTTTGGGGAGACAATAGAGAGCCCCTGAAGATTTTTGAACAGAGGAGTAACATGAGCAGATTGACATGTAAGAAAGAGTAAGCTCAAAGTAATATGAATAGGACTCAGGTCCTAGTCCTGGCTCTGCCACGGACTTCTTGGGTAATAATAACAATAATAATAAATAATAATAATACAAAACATTTATATTGTGCTTAGCCAGGCATTGTGCTAAGTGCTTTACAATTGTCATTTCATTTGATCCTCACAACAACTCTGGGAGGTAGGTGCTATTATTCTCCTCATTTTCACATGAGGAAACTGAGGCAAACTGGGCTTAAGTGATTTTCCCAGTAAGTGTCTGAGGTCACATTTGAACTCAGGTCTTCCTGACTCTAGGAACTTCCCGACTCAGCAGCTGGTGCTCTGACCCTGGGCAGGCTTCTTCCTCTCTCTAAGGAAAATTGGGTCTCAATTTCCTATGATGCAAAATAAAGGACTTGGACTAGATGAGATCTCTAAGGACCGTTCAACTCTGCCATTCCAGGTGACTATATAGTTTATGTAGCTGTTGTTCAGTCATTTTTCAGTCATATCCAACTCTTCATGACTCCATTTTGGTTGGTTTTTGGTTTTTTTTTTGGCAGAGAAACTGGAGTGGCTTGCCATTTCCTTCTCCAGTTCATTTTACAGATGAGGAAACTGAGGCAAACAGGGTTAAGCGACTTGCTCAGGGTCACACAGCTAGCAAGTGTCTGAGACCAGATTTGAA